TCTGTCTGTCTGTCTGTCTGTCTGTCTGTCTGTCTGTCTGTCTCCGTCTGTCTGTCTGTCTGTCTGTCTGTCTGTCTGTGTGTATGCATGTATGTATGTATGTATGGATGGATGGATGGATGTATGTGTGTATATAAGTACATACATACATGTACATATATGTATGCGTGTATGTGTATATATATATATATGTATGTATTTTTTGGCAAGTATACACCCCAACGTTGGCTGGATATAATGAATGCAGGGCGCCGTCGGGTGCTCCAGTCGCTGCAAAGCCCATCCACGCCCTCGCGCACGAGCCAGTCGCCAGAGCCCTCCACTTGGAGGCATTTTGCATTTCGAGTTTGCAGACTTTACCGTTCCGGGTTTAGGGTTTAGGGTTTAGGGTTTAGGGTTTAGGGTTTACCGTTCCGGGTTTAGGGTTGGAGTTTTGGGCTTGGGTTTTCGCCACCGGCTCTCCCACTTCCGGGCTCAGGGCTTGTAGCGTGAATTGCTAGCATCCCCAAAAAGACACCCAGCAGAGAGACTGACTCATGCACTCACAGAGATCAGAGATGTAATTACTGCTTCAATCTACTTCTTACAGGATTTCGTGATTGAGGGTTTCAGATTTCTGGATCAAGGCCTAGAGGGATCCGTGATGAGAGCGATGAATTGGGGCTAGCGTTCTTAAAGTTTCGGGCTTCGCCTGTTTCTCTCATCGAAAATAGGCTCACAGGGTCCCACTACGAATCAGTAGGTTCTAGGGTTTAGGGTTTAGGGCTTAGGATTTAGGGTCTAGGGCCTTTGGGTTTAAGGTTTCTAGGGGCTAAGGGGTTTAGGGTTTGGCATTCAGGATTCCACGTCTTTGTGATCGGGGGTTACCGAGGGAGCTTAAGGGTCTACGCCTTGAGGCTTTCAGGGACTTAGGATGTAGGGTTTAGGGTTTAGGGTGTAGGGTTTAGGGCTTAGGGTGAGGGTTTAGGGTTTAGGGTGTAGGGTTTAGGGCTTAGGGTGTAGAGGGTTTAGGGTTTAGCGTGTATAGTATCACAGTATAATCAAAAGATGGGCACTACAAGAGAATACTACTTCTAATTACTACTACTACTACTACTACTACTACTACTACTACTACTACTAATCACTCGGATTTCTCTATTTCAGCGACTGGCCTCCACGGCCATTTCCAGGTGGATGCGCGCGCACTCGCAGCCTCGTGGAGACATCCAGCTGGAGGCTCCAGTTTGAGTTTCACCAACAGGATTTAGATTGGGGGTTGCGTTAGGGTTTAGGCGTTTCGGGTTTAACGTTTAGGGTTAGCTTTTAAGTTTAGGGTCGGGCTCAGAGATTAACAACTTTTTAGCTGCATTACCGAAGCGATACACCCATACATCTTCTCAGTTTCAATGGGAACAATGCCGATTGAAACCTCCCACAGCCCCCAACATGTGTGATAGCATGTGGATCTTCAATCGGAGAGGTCCGGAAAGTTCTGAAAGGTGTGAAAATGGCCGCGCCAGCAACACCAGCAGCAGCAGCAGCAGCAGCAGCAGCAGCAGCACCACCACCACCACCACCTCTACCAGCAACAACCAACAACAACAACCACCACCACAACCAGCACCACCACCACCGCCACCACCACCACCCCACGACCACGACCACGACCACGACCACGACCACGACCACGACCACGACCACGACCACGACCACGACCACCACCCAACCCCAACCCCGACACCAACCCCAAACCCAACCCCATCCACAACCACAACAACCGCGACCGTAACCAAAATCACAACCGCAACCGCAACGCAATGCACGAGCACACAGGGTGGAGCAACGAACGACAGATAAACGACATCACAATGTGAGAGATGGCATATAGCTAGATAGAAAAGTTCAAGCTTGTCATCCGCATATGACTACTGCAACCCAGTACAAGTCCAACTGAACATCTTGGATTCTGATGATGCTTCGCCCTTTTCGTTTCGGCCGTTCACAGGTGCGACGTGGACTGCTGGCAGCCAACCGCTGACCGCCACGACCGTCTTGAAGTGAACGAAGAGCTGCTACAGTCGTGGCGAAAGGCGGGGTCGCTTTGCTTTCGTGCCTGACGCACTGGGAGTCACTTCTTGGAGGAAGGCCGCAATCTTGGCATGGCTTCTGCGTTTTCGGAGTCTTGCGTGCTCGAGAGCTGTCCTGCCCTGACTATCGACCACCTCCGTGTCAGCGCCAGCTTCCACCAGCAGCCGGGCAATCTCTGTGTGTCCGTAAACCGCTGCAAGCATGAGAGCTGTCACACCTGCACTATTCCGCAGGTCCTTGTTAGCACCAGTATCCACCAGGCAACGTGCTATCTCAGTGTGGCCGCTAGCTACTGCATGCATTAGAGCCGTTCTGCCTTGACAATCCTGCCAATCTTGCTTAGCACCAGCTTCGACCAGCAAGGGCACCACTTCAGCGTGGCCGAAGTACACCGCAACCTGGAGGGCGTGCCTTGTAAGAGCTATATCGTCCTCACAAGCATCAGCATCCAACAAGAAGCGCACAATCTCGGGGTGGCCGCCTGTGGCTGCGGCCAAGAGACCGGCTTCCTTAAAGCTTGAGCCTGCATCTGCAAGCAGGCGGACCATCTCAGTGTGTCCATGACGTGCTGCCACGGTAAGGGCCGCCGCATCTTCGAAGTCACAGTAGTAGTCTTTGTCCTCGGTGCTCCGTATCGTACCCCCTTGCTAGTAAGAATACTCTTGATCCAACATGTATTTCAAGAATGAATAGACCCCAAGGTATATTATACTATAGTTATAAGGAACGCCCCAGAATAGTGTAGGTAATCATTAAGGCCCCCTATATTAGACCCCACAAGACAAAGAGCACAAGGATACCACTGAGGGACCCAGGGTCTACTCCTGCCTGTAGGAGAAACCGGGCTGACTCCAGATGGCCAAAACGGCCAGCATAGGCCACCAGCTCATGTCCGGCGGTGTGCCATGCATCCGAGTCCACCTTAGGCTTCGAGTTCATGGGCCCATGAATGGAGATTACATTCACGCTGAACCTCTAAACCTTACCCTGAATTCTGAACTAAACCCTAAACCCTAAACCGAATTCTTGCCTACCGGGTCACTTCCTCGCTTACTTCGGCCAGGAGTATGAGTTGCATCTCTCCCACTTCTGGCACAGCCACGTCATCATCGTCCAGCAATCTCCCATCGAACACCAGCTTTTGCAAGGACACCGGATAGCCGTGCAGCGTACGTAGGTGGCGCTTCAAGTCCAGCACTGTCTGAAAGTTATCTCCGGAGAGAGCAGCCACCTCCTCCCCAGAGGCCGTGCGCACATGCAGCATCAGGACTGTTCTGCCTAAGGTCGACTAGCTCTGCTTGAAACGTTTCTCCCTAACTCCGAGCCGCGATGCATGAAGCTCTCAAGCCTCAGTTGTAAACTTCTGAACTTCGGGCTAAAGCGCCTAAACCCTGCAGACCCTGAACATGAGACTGGATGCGACCCGCCGTACGAGGGCATCCCTCCACCCTACGAGCTTCAGAAAAGGAGCCCTAAATCCTAAACTAAACCCCCAAAACCCTAAACTAAACACCTCCAAGTTTCTTATCCGTTCCTTTGTTTAGGTTTCAGGGTGGTGCAGGAAGAAGAGTTGCTAAACTGAAACATTGCTTCCTTCTCTATGGACCAATCGTGGGCCTCAGTATCTAGAGGGCCGCGGGTTATGTGATACTACAGGTGTCGTCCATACGTAAGTACATACATACAGGTTATGCTTATACATACATACGTACATACATGTGTATATATATATAATATACACACACATTCTGATGACCTGCCTGCATGGCTCTGAACAATATTGACTTCTGCATGAGACAACTCTACAGCTTTACCGGAAACACAACACGAGTAACATGCAAGTTGAGTGCGGGCTTTTTGTATACCCCATAACTACACGGTCGTATGGGATTCGTGATGGTTTCAGCAGGGGGGGCCATGTTTGTGCAGGGATGGTCCTGCTCTGCCAGACATGTGGAATTATACCAGTTACCATCCCTAAACCCTGAACCCTAAACCCTACAAACCCTAAAACCCTAAACCGTAGTCTCTGCTATGCCCAAGCCCTTCCCAGGCAGCCTGAACAGCCAAGAAATCCTGAAATCTTCGAACAACTCTAGTAGTCTACATCCCCCGAACACCCAAAACCCTCATAAACCCTAAAGCCTTAACCCTAAAAACTGAACCCTAAAACCCTAAACCCCAAAATCCTAAAGTCCGAGAGACCTCAAACTCCTCACATTGAATTGCCCACATTTCGGGGCTTCTGGTGTAGTGTTTGATGACTTTGTGCCTTGATTGGCACCTAACGGTTGTTTAGGGCTTAGGGGTGATAGGGTTTAGGGTTTAGGGTTTAGGTTTAGGGTTTTGTTTTTAACCCGTGAGAACCTACACCTTAAACGCCACAATGCAAAATTGCTCAAGAACCATGAAGAAGCCTTAGCAGCTAGAATGGGGCATTCCTGTATAAGTATAACCAGGAACCCTTTGGAACAGCACTGGTATTACTAAGTAGTTCTTCAGGCTTCTATCTCTCCACCCTGCCCTAAACCCTAAACCCTAAAGCCTAAACCCTAAACCCTAAACCCTAAAGCCTAAACCCTAAACCCTAAACCCTGCACCCCACAAGCTCTGAACTCTGAGCCCTAATGAGCTGGCCTTGCATCGTCGTCGCCATCTTCTCCGGGTAGATCACCGTGACCTCCATAGGTGGGTTGAGGGGTTTAGGGGTTGGAGTTTCGGAGTTTAGGGGTTTAGAGCTTTAGGGGTTTAGGGGTTTCCGGTTTAGGGGTTGGGGTTTCGGAGTTTAGGGGTTTAGAGCTTTAGGGGTTTAGGGGTTTCCGGCTTAGGGGTTGGGGTTTCGGAGTTTAGGGCTTTAGGGCTTTAGGGCTTTAGGGCTTTAGGGCTTTAGGGCTTTAGGGGTTTCCGGTTTAGGGGTTTAGGGTTTAGAGGGGTGAATCGCCGAAGCTTCATGAGAAAGCAAGAGGACCTCAAAATGAACTGAGGTTGTATAAGGGTTATACAAGGCCAGGGTTCCAGAACGATTCGAGACTTGTGGAGCTTACTCCACAAACCGTCGCTTGGTGAAGGTGCTTGGAATCCTTCACCTCTCAACCCTGTGACCCCAAACCCTCTGCAAACGCCCTACACTCGTGGCCATAACCCACAACCCTACGGAGCTACGCACTAGAGAGTCTCAGGTCCTCAAGCCAGAAAACCGCAAAATCCTTCCGACAAAAACTAAAAACCAAGAACAACCTGAACATAATCCCTAGAGCAAGCCTCACAGAACCCCCATACAAGCCATAAGCCGCCAAAACCCAAAAAGCACCGCCGAAGCTTCGCATAAACCCTAAACCCTAAACCCCCAAGGGCCCGGACCGATTGGTTATCCCTTGGGGCCAACACCAAGGACTCCGGCCCGCTGGCCTGAATCTCCAAGGTTAGGGTTTATGGGCCCATATGGGGGTTTCAGAAAATTGGGGGTGCCTTATTTTGGGGTCCTTATAATAAGGAACCTATTATTTAGGGTGCTATATCAGGGTCCCCTATTTTCGGAAACCCCCATATTAGGGGCCCTTAGGGAGGGTTTAGGGTTTAGGGTTTAGGGTTTATGGGCCCTTAGGGGGGGTTTAGGGTTTAGGGTTTATGGGCCCTTAAGGGGGGTTCTAGGGTCCCTTAAGAGTACGTATAGGGTATATATAGTAGGTATTATAAGGCTCCCAGGTTTAAGGGCCCATACTAGCGCGGCCCATGGTTTCAACCTTAGACTGAACCTGTTGACGGCTTAGGGGCGTTAGGGGTGTAGGGGTTTTTGTTTAGGGGTTTTAGGGTTTAGGGCTTGTAGGGTTTAGGGTTTAGGGGGTTCAGGGTTTATAGGGTTTTGGGTTTCGGGGTTTCAGGGTTCAGGATTTATAGGGTTCAGGCTTAGCATCATGCTTTAGCTTGCATATTTAGACCTCGGATTTGGTGATACTGCCTTTGGTTGAATGTGAGCTGGTTTAGGGTTTCGGAATGAGAGTTAAGGCTACTAGCACCTCGAAATGCAACATAATCTAAACCCTAAACCCTAAACCCTAAACCCTAAACCCTAAACCCTAAACCCTAAGGTTCACGGCATGGTACAGGATTGCACCAAGCCTACGCAGACAAGTTGGGGCTCCTGATCCCGATTGCACCCGGACATGTGATTGATTAGAAGCTTCTGGGTGGTCTACCAGGAAAACACGGCGCTCCGCAAAAAAGGCGATCTACGCTGGTGCCTGCCACTGCGCTAGTAGAAACTCTACAGGTTCTGCATTAATGTCGGAACCTGATTAAGAAACCTATACCCTGGGCCTCTATTTGGGTTCTTAATATGAACTCTAATATATTGGGGTTATAGGGCCAGGATTTCTTAATCAGGTTCCTACATTAGGGCATTCTGTTGCAGCTGTGATATGCAGGTCCATATCGGTAGGAAGGAGCTCACTAGCTTCGGGTTGGCAGTTTCCAGGTTCAGGAGGCTCGCTTCGGTATAGCTATAGGAGTTCCGTGGCAGCTCTGTGGGTCAGGGACAAGTTTCCTGTGGGGTAGGGGGCTCATGATGCTGTCTGAAATCCATGGATTTGGAGCGTAGGGCCTGTTCAGGCAAGCTTAAGGTTTGGGGTATACTGATGCATTCAGCAGTTTGGGGTCGGCAGTTGTGACATTGGGCTTCGGGAAGCAGTTGGTGGTATGCACCGTTGCGCTTCCGATTTATCGTTTGAAGTTTAGGGTGGTGTGGCTTTGGGGCCCAAACACCCCCAGCAGTATACATGTGTTTCAAGGATTCTGTAAGGTATTACACAAGGGGACTTTCAGAAATCTCTCTCCACCAGCTTGAAAGTTGTGAGAGGGATCCATGTAGAATCCTTCCAACACCCACAAAAAAACAAACCCCTAAACCCGAAGCCCTAAACCCGAAACCCGGTCCGGGAGAACCTTGGCGAGATTCGTTGCAGCCTAGGGTCCAGCACCCCTAGAAAGCATAACCGCCAACAAAAATCTGTGCAACCCCATATCCACCCCAGAAAGAGCCCTATGCAACCCTGTGAAACATGTTCAAAAAAACCCTACAAAGCATCAAAGGCCCAAGCAAACCGCTGAGCACCAAAAGGACCAAGTCGTCCCCCGACGGAGCCGTGCCTGCACCTGTGGCCGATCCGACAGTCCCGCCAGGGCCGGTGTAACCTGGGGAAGCTGAAGAGCTTGGCGATGCTTGAAGGCGTCGTATAGCAAGAAAATTTAAAAATCTATAAGATCATGTAATGTAATAGAATAACATATAATATACCAGGGCATACTACAGCCTAGTACAGTATAACACAACATAGCGGAATGTGTAATCATACAAAATGATGTAACAATCATAATATGCGCAAATAAAGACACAACATATGTAATATGGTATGATGCAACATGACACGATATAACTCAATGTAGGCTGTATATTTTGGAATATTTAGACGAATCGTGAACTTCAAATACGTATATATAATACAACATAGTATAAGATACACTATACTGTAAAATACATGGTCTAAGACTTACAACTTCTGTAATTTAATAAGCTCGTGATGTGTAATACAATGGAACATAGTCGCATTTGATATTAGAATAATCATATCTAGTAGATCAGTATGTGGTATTTTTCAACATGTTACATAGTACATATACTGGAGGTGAATATCTTGCAATGCAGCGGAATGAACAATTACTATAACAAAACATAATATACCGCAGTATAATAATATAACAGAATATGGTAGAGCAGAATAGAATGGAACAGCATAGAACATAATAGAACAACAAAGACTATACTCGAATAGTACGGGATATAATGGAACAGAATATGGTATATCTGTAACTTGGTATAATGCATTAGATTACAGTACATGATACGATAACCTATAGTTCAGCAATAAAATGTAAACTACAATCTAATCTGAATAAAGAAATACATGAATAAGTATGTATACATATATATATATATACACATACTTGTATACAGGGCAGGCATTATCTTTAATGGTTCAGAGGGATGTGTATAAGGGGTTGTTAGAGGGTGTCGTCAACGGTGATTGAAGAGCTTATGTGGGGTGTGCTGATAGCATAAGCCCTAGACCCTAAATCCTAAACCCCCAATATAGGAGCCAGATGTAAGTGTTTTGCACGATTTTGATAACATGGGTCGTGCTACATGGGTTTTGTAAGGCTACCTTCCAGGTTGTTTAGAGGGATTGTCGTCATAAGTTCAAGATGTTA